CTGTTCAGGTCAACCATGTTCCTTCTGCACATGTGAACACACCTCAACTCATTCAAAAAGACACATTTGAATATTGGATAGCAAAGTAGGGATGCTAATACCAACCTTTTGGCTCATTGTGTCCTCTTGTTGATGACACGGTCGTTAAGGAACTACGAAACAATGAAAGTGGGCGACAAACACCTGAGTTGTAGGTCAAATATTTCCATGTTTCGACTCACGGAAGAGACATTAGCTCTGTGAATGTCGTGTTTGCAGAAACACCATAACTCTTTCCATTGGCTTCTGGTAAATCGGGGTCAAACTGTGACAGGCCCGGGCATGCCTGACCTCATTGCTCCAAGGTGTGATGTTGTTATGTCTGGATAACCCCTTCAGGTGGATCGAGGGTCAAATAGTCAGTGTCAGTTACAGCTCGTTTGTTTGGAGACCATGTTTGCTTAGCATCGATGGTGGTTTGTTGACGTGTCCAACATTCCTCCTTCACAGCCATCTGTAAATCTCAGTGCTTCAAAAGGCCATTGAACTCGTCTTGAAAGAAGAGTGCATGCTGAGAGTCATCCTTTCATGTGGTTATTTAGAGAAGTCCGCCATGTGGTCGGAACAATGCAGATGACCAATTGTCATTATCCATTCAAACTTACAGTCATGCCTCTTGGGATCACATGTTTTCTTTTTGCCATGGCAACGTCTGAATGAATGAATGAGTGGGTTGAAATGCTTATTTCAGCAGAAGTTTGAGGAACTACCTCATCAGCAGTAGGTTAATCATCCCCCCCTCAAATGAAGCTATATCAGCACTCGGTCAGCAAACATGAACACAGACCTTTTTTAGGAATGAATCACAGCGGTGCAAATGTCAGTACTTGGGTTTAGAAGATGCAACTCAGTCCAAACCACACATTTTGTGGTTGTCAGGAAAAGGTTTGTCAGTGCTGCCGAAAGAACAAACACGATGAGTCGTACCTTAATGTCTACCATTTAGACAGCATGACTAATGAAAGCAAGGTGGAAAAAGTCTGTTCTAGCCCGGGCAGGTTCCTAGCAGTGTGTGAAAAACAAAAAAGGTGCCATTGTTCATTTGAACAAGGCCAATAAAGTGGTTCAATTAGAAAGCCGATGCAAAGGGACGTCAGCTAATTTGGTGTTTTCGGCCCCGAAAGACATCGAGAGCCTTTTTCAGAGTGTTAAACAATTTTTTTGTATTGAATAGAATCTGATTCTGGCCTAGAAATATATAAAGAATCTGTGGTACGTTAACCCAGGGGTTCCCTAACGTTGCCATGCCAAGGACCCCCATATAGCATTATCCTCTGGCGGGGACCCCCTTGCAATTTCTTTTTTAAATGAGTACATTATGATGGAAAATATGACAAATTAATCATGCGGCTTAATACATTTTCTTAATATATATTTATATTAGTAATTAATAATCAGTTATTCTTCTAAACATTTTTAGTGTTTATCTTTTGTTTGTCATTCATTACATTCATTGTGTCGTCTGCATTTTTAAAGTGATTTCTGTCCTTATAATATTATATAATCTTGAACAGTAATATGAACAATTAACATATATTTTTAGCATTTTTGAAAGCTACTTATGCCTTAATAATATTATATATAATATTCAACAGTAATATTAACAACAAACATATTTATATTAATATATATACACAACAATATTTGCTACATCCGTGCTCTCATCCAGCTGCAGAGCGAAATATTCACTAGCTCTCACTTACTCCAAAAGCTGAGCAGATACTCAGTTTCACTCTCAGTAGCGGCGGCTTGATTCTGATTGACTGACTTTTCATGCAATCTTAAGCAGCACTCAGTCCGTCCAACCATGATTATAGGAATAATTGGTGTATTTATGAACAGATTACAGCTCAAAGAACCACGCAAATGGCATGTATTCATTCATTTGGATTTTTCTAATCTATAATCAAGCGAACAAATAGGACTTAAATCAATTACACATTCAAATATTCTTTTCAAAAAGGCTTAAAGGTTTTCCCATCGTCCATAAACAGTGTGTAGGCTAGGTTTCTAGGTTTTAGCGATGTTTCTAAAAGGGAAAAACTCAACAAATGGTAAAACACGGCTCAACCGCCTACGTATAGGAACGATATTTACGTCAAGTCTCAAACCAAAAACATTTTTTCTGACCTGTAAATCAATTTCCTCTCCCCCTTCTGACAGCTGGTTGTTCAACTTCTTCATTCAAAGCAGTTTGACTTAAGATAAGATATAACTTTATTGATCCCAATTTGGGAAATGTTTGTGTTGCAGCAACATAAAAAGACAAGGCATTGTACAATAACAATTAAAAGACAATAATCACTTATTTTTAGCTCATAGGCTACTGTTTGATCAGTCCTCCGCACAGATAACACATGATTTGATATGTTCAGTCTTTTAATGCCAGCTGTCAACGAGCACCAGAGACGGGCGGCACGGAACATTCAATGGTTTTATCACTTGGCCTGATCACACCTACGGTTTGTTTTCAGAACCCGGGTTGAAAAGTTTACCTTTTTTCCGTTTGTGTTTTTTAGCTTCACACAGGTCATCAACTTTAGGCTCGAACATTGGTTTATTGAGGGTTTCTTTACTGTGCCTGGATTGTGCAAACAAAAGCATCTACTAAGCAATATTTTTGATTCAATTTTCTTTAATTCCACTATTTGTCCTTTTTTGGGCCTACATTTCCCACAATGCAGATCAACCACAAAGTGTTTGGTTAGAGTTGGGGTGTGTTACGCTGGTAGTAGTTTAGTTAGACCCTCCAGAAAAACGCGGGCTAAATTCCTTGATTATGCGATTAAACATGCGGGGTTTTNTTGTACTGGCCATTCCAAAGTTTAAACAGGCCATTTTATTTAAGACAGGCCTGTAGAACTGGTCGCTCTTTTTAGGATCGCCTTTGGACCACACTTGCTGTTCCGTCTAACTGAATAACGAAACTATAGTCCTGTGTTACGCGCTCTTCCCTAACAGGGATAGTTAGGGTGGTTCGTAAAATGTCAGTTACCCGGTAATAAGTCACGTATTTTCCGCTTTCCCAGGAGACCGGTAAACACTTCTAAAGTAGACACAAAGTTACAGTTCGAAATTACAGTGTTTACGGTAATGAAATTTTACTAGGTGTTGTATTTAGGATATACAGGCTACCTATTACCGCATACAAAAATAAAGTCCTGCATAAGGGAACTCCAAAGGGTTGAGATGCTGACTGAGGTTACACCAGTCACCGAGACTACAAGGTCTAAAGGCGTGGGGCGGATTAGGTAGCAAGGAGTAGACATCCAATAAAGTGAATATCTACACATCACCAATAACGCTTACACATATTCCCGTAACATCCAATTTATTTAATAATGTTTAACACATTATAAGTCTCTTTTATTGAGTTCTACTTACGAAACTTAAATCCGTCTTTTTCGCGTCGCACATACCACACATCCATGCAAATACCGATCGGGGCCGACCTCCGACGTATGTTATCCACTCCTACTGATAGCGCGGAGCGTGAGTCTCCCCGGGTGTCCTGACAGAGTACGAGCATCGGGAAAAATCACCACCGACAAGGCACGGAGTCGTCTGAGAGCGAGAGGAGTTCTCCACAAATCGACATAGTCCCCGAAGACACCATACTCAACAGAGTAGCAGTTCGTACGAGCTTGGTCCCATCGTCGAATCGCATTATCGAAGAGTAGTGATAAACAAAGGGCGAGAAGAGGCAGAGAGAGGAGCTCTCTCGCCAAGATCACGCCGAGCGACAGCCAGGTAGAGTGGCGTTCGTCTGGGAGGGACGCGTTGGCGGTTCTATCTATCCTGTTAGAGTCCTGGTTAAGCGAGTCGGCAAGTAGTGTCTCGCATATTAATATAAGAGATCTATCACAAGACGAGGATATATATAATCGGACCGACCAATTACAAAGGACCAACCATGATGGCGAGTTGTTGTAACAATTTGATATTATGATACACACACACTGGCGATCAGAGGCCCTTCCTCAAAGTATACTTTTTGTATCATCAGCAGAGCAAAACACACACCCAGCGTCTATCTTTTTAGGACTAGGACTAGAGCCCTGACTCAGCTCTACCAACCTAGTAATCTCAACCTTACACCTCCATTGCTACACCACCAGGACACACCCATAGAATCGTTTGTTCCCAAGCCCGTTTCCCCAGCCCAAACCACACACTTATATCCCGACACGTAAAGTGACCAGAGTGCTAAACTAATGCTAATAGGACCAGTGCTAAGTAAGGGCTCGTATGATTACGCAACGTAGGAGTGTTCAAAGAAAAGCGTACCAAGAAAGTAGTTACTTATGTACGTCATTATGTAATACTGGACAGAGAAAAATAATAAATCTTTACGAATCTTAGGTATTTATTACAGAACTGTAATTAAATATTGGTTTATTAGTTAACATATCGAGATCGGTAGGGATATGCATAGACCAACTTTAGTTGGTATTGTTTGCTTACAAACGCAGAACGACGCGAGAACGTTGCCAGAAGCAAAATTTTTTCCTTTAACTGCCAGGACTAACACCGTAGTTTTGACATGAGCTCAGACTTTGGTCGTCTGTTGTCCCATAAATGTTAATTTGTTTTTATGACGTCACGCCACGTGTGAATGTAAGAGAAGAATGACAATGTATTTAGGTACTACATCCTCTAATTTCAATCGAAAGTGTATAGAGTTAGTCGCTAATTCCTATCATTATTGCAAAAAAGTCCAATGACAGTCGACAGTGGTAATATAAAGACACCCCCCGCCCAAACCTCGACGTCTCTCCTCTGCCACTAGCGCCTTCGAAAGAGGACTGAAGTGTTTGTAAGTTGCCAATAGCAGACTTTTATCGTTTCCCCTGAAGTATGACACGTTTGGTTCTGAATTGATTTAGGGTTTTTGGACTGACTAACATTGCTCTCATAAAAAAATTTTGTATTTAGCTAACACAGACTCGGCGGTCGCGTGCTCACAACGTCTCGCCCAGGAAGACCAACCAAGACCTAAAACACAAGAACACAACACCCATTTCGTCTGACGAGTACAGAACCACACGACACGCGACAGTGCAGACAAGGAACTAGAGGACGCAGGTCCTTTAACGGCTCCGTTAGCAGGTAATTACCGGACTAGGACCGGATATGCTGATGTTTAAAACTCAGTTAATGGGGTTCATTTTTATATTGCTTCAGTTTATAATCGTAACAGATCGAAAAATTCAGATTCATTTTTCAATAAATGATACGCTACAACAAACAACATAATTATTACATTCAAACAAACTACTTGTAGTAGATGAAGTACATTATTCAAAAGTTTACATTAACTTTGGATAATAACACGGGAGAAACGGATCCTCTCCTTTCCTCTCTCTCTTTCTCTCTCTCCTGACAGCCCGTCAGTTTCCCATGCAGCGCGCTAAACAGAGGGCGGGGCTTCAGGTGATAATGCAGAGCTGCGTGTCTCCGTCAGACTCAGCAGCTGATCAGATCTCTGATCTCTCGCGTGCAGTTATACTTCCCTCGCGTTTATGTCCATATCGATCAGTTCCAGCTCTCCTGATCTGCCTTTATAGAGAGCACCTATCAAACTATTAAGAGTGAATATCGGCCGATAATGACTGGCGGCCAATCGATCGGAACATCCCTAATTATTACTGGACATTTTGACTGGCAGGTTTTGAATTTACCGGTTTTTAATACATTTTACAAGCTAAAAAACGGTAATTACCGGCTAACGGAAACCCTGGTTCACACAAACCTTTGCAGGCTGCTGGCGGGATCCCGATGCAGATAAAGTACTGGAAGGTCAGCATGACGACGAGGAAGAAGCAGTATTTGGGCCAGATCTCAGCGATGGCTTTCCTCCTGCGTCTGTACATGACTGCAATCAGGGCGAAGGCGTGAAGCATGGCGTAGAAGTCCATCCGCTGCCCGATGACATTGACCACGAGCAGCAGGCACGTCTGAGGCAAACACACAAGGAATACAAACATTAAGTGTTGTTTTCAAAAAGAGGATATATTTAGCAAATGTTCAGGTCCAAATTTGTATTTTGTGCTTCTCTCTTTCCACCCACTCTGTCTGAAACCAGAGCCCAGTTTTCTCTGATTGGTCAACCACTTGGAGATGTCCCGCCCCTTAGCCTATCACGTACAATGTGTTGGAGCGCTAGCCAATAAAAGCGGGAGTGTTACTTAGTGATGTAACTTTGTTAAGGAAGTAAACAAAGGAGTCCAATTGAGGCAGATTGGGGAGTGTGTGGGAGAGAAACTCCCTCTGGAGGGGACTTTGGGAACATGTTAGCCTTTGTAGACCATTTACATGCACACAAACCTATACAACACACTACGGAAGAGGGAAAACCCCAAAAAGGAAAATAGGGCCTCGTTAGGCTCTTTTCATTTGTATTTACCTCAAGTCCAAACTTGTAGAAGAAGTAGTTGATGAAGTATTTGATGAAGCGGATGATGCCGATGTCCAGGTGTTGCCGTGTGATATCATGGAAGATGATCTGGGCGGCGGGAGGCGACAGCTTGTTCCTCAGTCTGAAATATCCCTGATGGCGGTAGATGGTCATCTCGAACGCTAACAGAGCTAGCATCATGAAGTTGTCCTGCACAGATGGAGAGTATCTTTAAATGTGTTGTTCTAATGTGAAAAAATCTTTTTTAATTGATAGTTATTTTCTTTTGTCTCTGCTTGCATTGCATTTGATATTGAGGTAATCCAAAAGTAACGGAAATATGGTTACATTACTTTAATTTTTAGATATCTTTTTGGTTGTGCTTGCTGTTTGTTCTCCTCACCCTGAGGTAGCCCAGCAGGTCGTCAGCTTTCTGCAGGCCGACCCAGTTGGCTGGATCCACCGCACTCTTATACAGCACAGAATTCTTCTTCATGTCATCCTTCTGGACTTCTGAGTAGTCTTCTGGCTGTGGACAGAACATATCATTGTATATATGAACTAAAAGTGTAAGGATAGTCAGGATAAGGGCTGTACTGAGTAATTTGAAGCAGCAATTATTTTAGATTCTACACCAACATTTACATTAAAATTCTCTGGCATGTCAATTACTTTTGTTTAAACCTGGCATTTCTGCACAGTTTCATTTAAAGCTATAATAATATAACTAGTGTTAAAATATTTGTCGTGAATTCAATCATTGAGTGTTGTCTATTTTTTTTCTAAAGTCAGCATTTGTTAAACACAGATCACAAAATGTTTTTTATATAACAAATGATACCTTTTTAATACACTTATTTTCAAAACAAAGCACGTATGATTATACAAAAGTTAAATTGAAGAAAAAAGATGATTAAAAAATTGTAATAACTTGATTAATTACTTTATTGAAATTTGTTTTGTTTCACGTTTTTTTTTTTTTTTAGGGTGTCCTGAAACCTAGGAAAAGATTCAAAGCCTCAAATATGAATAAAATGAGACATTTAGGACAGCCCTTGTAAGGATATGATCTATGTTGGGTAAATATGAATGGAAAAAAAAGCAATTTCTTTATAATCACCATCGAACAGTTCGTAGAGTGTTTTTCAGGTTTTACGAACTCGAGCTGGTACATCATTTTACACACGATGATGACACACGTCCAGACCGTGCAAACGCTGGAGGCGAGCGGCCGGTACTGGCAGTACGGCAGCGCGATGGCCCAGGACGCCACAAACACGTAGTTGAACAAAGAAACCTGCAAAAGAGACAATGCATGCAATGAGGACAGGAAAAAAAGAATAAATCCTTTTCTAATTACATTTCCTCCTTTTCCTTTCCTTCCTACACAAACTAGTGTTGTATTGAGTTGTTTCATGTATTATAAGCATGTGATTCATAATGACTGTAGGTAAGAAGTGCTTGAATACACTTACACATCCCTTTACGCAAAAAATAAACTGGAGAAAAGAAGTGAAGAACATTTTGAGGAAAATCCAAATGCACTCGTAAAAATTGAGGTCAGGAACTATGAATAAAATATCATTACAATACATAAATATAAGTCTATAAAAGTCAGTTTTAATGAGAATGTAAAAGCCCAAGCAGCTTATCCAAATTCAAGGCTTCATTCAGAGAGAGTTGATGGCAAGAAATCTGCGGTGTAACTCTTTAACCAATCCTGGTTTATTCCCTATTGGTTCCAGTTGGCTCTGTGTTGTTATTTTTTACAGCATAGGAGCAATAAAACCTACCAAGGAAATGTGAGCAATGCTAACTGTGGGTATTTGTGATAGGAAATGTAATAGCTTTTTGACTCAGAACTGTATGAAATGACAGTGTAATTTACTTACAAACAAATAGAAATAGCCTCAGGAAACCGCTGGTATGCAATGTGAAAACTGGCAGTGTAGCATGTGGCACAATTTTAACGAGAGAAACATTTCAAAGGGCCCTAACGTCAAAGGCACTGCCACCTTGTTAACCTCAGTTTTTTAACAGCTAGAAAGCGCCCAAATCCAAGAATCTGAGCCTGCAAATTGGCTCGTATTGGGCGTATAACACCTCTGCTTTATAGCTTAGATATAGAGCCTTGTTTTAAAGTGTAATGTCAAGCTTTCTTACATCTTTGACGGCGACCAGCACGATGTAGCAGGACACGATCTTGATGATGTGGATCTCCAGTAACCACCAGATGAACAGCTGCAGTTTGTGGAAATACTCCAGGAACTTCAGGAAGAGCACCGTCAGCCGGTCGACCACCAGGTGCCATTTATTCTTCAGATCTGAAAGAGAGGAGAGTGACTGAGTAGGTGCAAATGTGAAGAGTTTCCAGGTTTCATCACTTCACTACTGTGGGGGAAACTTCTGAAGTAATTGGAAACAGGACTCAGAGAGACACGAGGAGAGCTGGAGCTTTGATGGCAAACACTGACGGTTTATTTGGAGCCACGTCCGGAGAATTCTCAAGACATGTCACGGGCCACGGTTTGACCTCACGGATGAGATGCCACAATCAATTCTGAAGAACCCTCCTGTAGTTCCAGGTTTGAACTAGTTTCAACATTCTTCAATAGATAGACTAAACAGCTGGTGAAACCGAATCACATTTGTTGTCTCGGGGTCATCTACACCCCGAGAAGGATGTGTTCCAGGTGTCCCACAACAATAACTATCTCCGACCGAAAGTTTCCCGGTCATAAACTGGTAACAACAACAAAATGCTAGGGCAGCCCCTCTTTAAGGGAGATAGCGGCTGCCCAAGGTTGGGCATCTGCGTCAGAGGGCAAAAGGTAAACATGCATACAGAATTATTCCCTGACAATTACAGCTGTGCAGTCTGTCTCTGTTTGAACAGTACTGATATTTTGCTTACGTAGCTTTTAAAACAGCAACCCCAGCTGGAGCAGAATCTCTTTTTGCACTTCAGGAACAGGTCATATTTTTGTTAGTATATCTTATTTAAAAAAGACTGTCCTGCTGCCATAGAAATGTATTAAACCACTGGGTAAAGATGGACCCTAATAAATGCACTTTTCCACTCCTATGTTTTATTAGTATATTGATGTATTTGCAGAAAGGCTGAGTAGCAATTCCATTGAAACACAAACTGTACCTCATAAACATTCAAATAAGTTCAAATTCAGCAAACATTTAGAGGTTGTCGAAACGTTTTTAAATGTGGTTATGATTAATTGTAAATGCAAACAAACGTATAATCTATTAGCCAAGCAACAGATACAAAATGAGTGTTTAACCAAAAATGGGGAAAAAATCTGTCATTCTAGTTCCCTAACTTTGTCTAATTTTTCATTATCGGTTGTAGTAAACAAAATACCATTGAGATTTAGGGAAATACTTAGTTTCAGTCTTACAAATCATTTCCAGTCAAATACTGAAATGTATCCAGCAAACTATTTCTTATTGAGTGTGTTCAATTAGTGGAACCAATGTGCAAGACAATCTGGATTTTAGTGAGGGAAAGCTACATTTTGATATGTACAACATTTTATTGAGCAAACTTAACAGCTAAACATATGTTTCAGATATATTGTGAAACTGTAAAATGTTTGTTTATGTAATTTTTCCCTATATGTCACGATGTATGGCAACACCTTAAATGTGTGTTTTACAAGCTATTTCTAAACTGTTGCTTTAATTACCTGAGAATTAAGCCTTAATATTCTCACAAAGGATATTAAAACTCCAGCTATAGTTTGGTTATGTGTTTCTCCAAAGGATATATTATCTCAGGTTTTAATAGAGCCCTCATTGTTTGGATAAGAAAACACTGAGAGGGCATATACTGTAGCTCGCATAGCTTGCACCTCATTATAAACGGAGAGGCCCTGCAGGGCTGTGTTTTATCACCTATTTTATTTTCTGTGTATATAAACAACATTTTAATTTAAGAGCAGTGTGACGGTCTGCGTAAATATGCTAATGGTGTAGCGCTAGTTGGCTCTAGCAGGGCGATGTAATAGATGAAAGTGACCACTTGAGCTACGCTCTGTGTCAGCAGGGGAAACAGGAGGTAAATCTTACTGAACCCAAAAATCTGCAGAACAACAGATTTTTACAGCTTTCCTCGGGATGATTAACGGACGGCTGGTGGAGAGTGCAGGCGGCGGATACTTGGACAGCACACTGAGTGTATGCAACATATGTCTTCTGAGCAGACTGAAGAGCAGAAACAGATCTGAAAGAAAAACATCTCTACGCTCCTGACAGTGTAGCTGGCACCGCTACATATCAGCACATGTGAGTCTCAGCTGTAAACACAACGAGAGGAGGAGGCATGGAGGAAAGCTTTCTTACACTTTGAAATAAAACACATGAGAAGTGTACAAGTACAAGACTCTCTGGATGAGAAGTTTTATGACCGCCGACAAGGAAGTTGTGTTTTCAGTCTGACCGTGTGTGTGTCAGCAGGATTATGGGAAAAACTACTACTGCAATTCTTTATGATAATAAATGGAAGGATGTATCACGGGCCAAGGAAGAAACCCTTTTGGAGCAGAGCCAAATGACACAGAGGATGCAAACAAAATTCTTCTTGTTTGTTAACAATATGAGATGCGGCAATTTCCCTGCATTCATATGGTGTTGGAATAAACCGTAGCTGAAAAACAAGTTCCCGACTTAGAAATTCATATAAACTACCCCCTCAAAGAGAACAGCAATTCAGTGTTGTGTTGTTTAAATGCTTTAAATACAACACATCCTCTGTAATGTCCTTGTTCTTTCCATATTGGTTTGTGAACACACGGGAAACGACAGCCTAACTCAGGAAACGGGACCATCCGAGGAGCATGTGAATGCACCGTTGACCTTGGCAGAGGTCTGTGCCCTACAAGTGCTATCGTAGTTTTCATATGATTTGCTTTGATATTTCATGTTTTTCAGAGGAACTTGAAAACACATTTTAGAAACACTGGATACATTCCTCAAGATGTAACCAAGTTTTTATTGTTTATCTCTTGTTCTTCTTATAATGATAATTAGTGTTAAAATGACACTGAAGATAAAAGGGAAGACAGTATCAGTCCTAACGTGGTTCTTCGGTTACTGGAGTACTTCCATCTGGCAAACGGTTCAGGACAATAAAATCACACACCAACAGACTGAGGTACAGCTTCCATCTGACACACACACACACACACACACACACACACACACACACACACACACACACACACACACACACACACACACACACACACACACACACACACACACACACACACTTCTCCGCCTCATTCTGTTTTCATTTACTCGTTCGTTATCTGCAGCTTCAATGTTGTAGGCTACTCACTTCGTTTCTTGTAGCCCTCGAAAGGGTTTTGGAGGTTGATGCCTCGTGAACGTGAGTTGTTTGGCTTTCTTGTCCGCAGCAGCAGAAAGCATTTTCGGATGTTTGACTGAATCAAAGTGGATCGTCACCGTCGGTTTTCTCTAAGACTTATGCTCCAACACACAGTTGCACGGGGTGCAATAGTTTCCCCCCACTT